CTTAAAATCCGTGCACCGTTGTATTTTAATCAATTTTGGAAGAAAGCTTAAACACAACTGAATATTCTATTGCTGTTTTCATCCAATAAATAATGTAAGTCAAATAATACATAATCTAACATTTATCAATTTGGTCTTTTGATGAGAAACATATCGACATAGCACATAATTGAGCCCTGTTATGAGCATAAATTCAACCATTGGGAATTTTTACCCATATCGCCTATTTGACCCTTGGGGTACATTTGTGCATAGGAATGCATCAACCCCTCAAGTTGTACGGCAAATATGCTGGCAAGGTTTGTAGGTGCGAACAGAAACAACCATTTTTTTTACCCACGCGGACAATTGGAAAATAGATTGTGTATAAACTCTTAGCTAATCTTTAAGTTGATAAAAACATTAACCGATGAAAAAATGATATTTATTATTTGTGTTTTCCAGAATTTTCAGTCGGAATTTATACTATAATGTTCATTACCATAGGTTTCATCCGCAATTATATTCGTCTGAATTATCAAAATAAGATTTCGGTTATTGCCCTTTAATTGCAATGTAATCGTGTACAGTAAACTAAAAGGCCCTTTTCCAGCCTGAACATGTTCCGTATTGACCTTTAAGAAAAAAACAAAATCGTACAAAGAATATCAAACATTTATTATGATTGATGATTTACATGGAATAATCATAAAATGAACATAAATATTTTGTCAGAAATCTTTTTATTCTCTGACCAGTACTTCTAGATTCTCTTCTAGGTGTCTTGTCAACTTCTTTGACATCTGTTTCTGAAAAAATGAAAGAAAATGATATCAGTACCAAGCTTATATGAATTTAATTCGCTGGGCAAAAAATAACAAGATTTTATATTTCAAAGAAAACTATTTTAGTCTTATATCATTTGTAATACCACGGATCGCGAAATTATTTCAACTTCGCAGTGGTCAATAAACAAGTTGTCTTAAAATTTAATGTTATATAACGAAATTGCACGTAACATCCGAAACTTTGACCCATTTCAGTGATATCGTTGAATAATATATATACTAAAATTATTTTTTGACGGCGATGTTGCTTTATCAAGTACAATAACTCATTTTTAACTTTTGGTGATTATTTCAACTGCGACCAAACCTTCCATTTGTAGTTTCTGTACACGTTAACATACCTCTGTCTGTCGTCAGATCAACATCGGAATATCCATCATCTTCGCAAACAACATCTTGAAGATTGAGTCGAAGTTCAGACTCTTCTACGACAATCATCCTTTTTCTAGTCTGTGTATGCCGAACCCTTGGTTTATTCTGATGAACCGATCCATATCCATTGATCATTTCGTTAATGGGGATCAGTTTGTTTGATTTTCCCCCGTTATTCCTAGCACTTTTTGTTTCATGTTGACGAGATTTATCCGATATGTCCCGTGCCTCTATTTCTAGGTCTGTAAAACTTTCTATCCTCAAAGCTTTCAGTAGCTCTAGTGTACGACTCTGGTCTGCAAATAAAGTTCAGCATAAGTTATAACTTTTATAATGTATAAAGTAAGATTTAAGATTTGGCCCATAATATTCTTTTGCCAAATATATCAATTAAAAGTCTGGATAAGAAACACAAATGGAACGTAAAATTCCCCGCAATCACATCAATTAAAGCCTTAGATTTGACTAGATTCAGATCGAATTCTTTCGAAAATAAGACAAGTAAGAAAAACTCTACTGATTTAGTTACTAAATAAGTCAACAGCGAATTTTTGATTTCGTGAAGTGGTAATCTGGAATTGAATATTTAAGCGCTTTAATTCAAAATTCAAGTAAAATGCAATTTTATTCTAATATCATTTGGAAAATTGCAGAGCTTACTAATATTTTCTTTATATATTTATTTCTTTTTAAAGGTGAATCTATGTGTAAAAAGTATATTTTTGAAATTTGTTAAATTAAAGAATTTCGGATTTAGACAACTCCTGTTACTAATTGTTCATGATATACTAAACAACAACTAGATGTGTTAATCAAATCTAAAATACTTTCAATTATTGATTGACAAAGACACTGAGTACAACTATATTTCAGTCATGAAGTCTTGAGTTTTGTAGAAAAAAACTACAGCAGATTTTGATCGAACCGGTTAATAAACTAAATTATTCGACTAACCGTACGACTTCGGTACAACAAATCCATTCATTCTTAAGAATACTTCAAATCTGATTGTATTACGTTGTCTTATTAATAAAATTCCTATCTCCGTTAAGAATTCCTGCTTAAAACACTCGACGATGCTAAGACTACAATGTATTATGATGTTTTATTATTATGACGTCATAGATGTTGCTTACAACGACTAAGCCAACTCCAATAATCCACACTGGCCTTTTAATTTTTTATCATTATTCAAGAGTCTTGCTATTTCCAAACCCGTTATATACTTGGCCTTTTAATTTTTCGCGCATTTAGGTTTAAGATGAGTATATTCGGTGCTCTATATAGTGTCACCTATGACAATCATCCTAACGTCGTTTTTATCATTTCGATTCCAAAATATCTGCAGCAAATTCAAATTATTCAGTTAACAAACCGTAAGTTTTGGGAACAACAAATCCATTCATTCTGCTTTGATAAATTCTTTTTCAATATTCGTCGAATTATTCTCCTCTGATTGCTAACAATATAATTTATATAAATTAATGTGTAATGACTTATTGTCATTATGACGTCATATGATGCTTCAGTTTCTTCTTGCGTTTGAGTATAACAGCAATTACAGATCTTGGATTTCCGATATTTTTTCCCGTATTTTTGTGAGTGATTTCGCTAGTATTACTAAAATCCAGATGAAAACTTTGCCACTCCTTTACAAATCCTTATAGTGTTTTCCGGTAGTTGTTGAGTGTTGCGTTATTTTCAGATGCTTGCGATTGACTAAAAATTAATTCTTCCGAATTCAATCACATGGAGCAAAATTATATTGAATATTATCTTGATTTTATTTTTAGCTAGTTAGGATGTCAGCAACAGAGTTTCGCAGAGGGTAATTTAAATTTAATTACTTTACGAGCAGAAAGATTTCAATGAGCTGATCAGTGAGTAACATTTGGGAATGCTCTATACAATTCAGAACAGTTTTGAAATAAAATTGAATCAAACAAGCACTTCCTTGAAAGGCGTTTAGAATGCCCCTATCTATTTATAGAAGATTGTGGGCGAAAATCTTCACGACTTTCTGAAATATATCAACTTTTTATAGAAGATTTCAGACCACCGTGTTTTCTTATCGTCTGTTCAGAGTTTATAATAATATTTTATATAGACACTTTTAATCTAATCATCTACAAGCTTTTTATTTAAATAAAATTATACATTTGTATTGCAAACAAATATATTGGTTGGCCTGGACTCTTGACCATTGAAGACCATAGATTTATTTTGCCCGTTATAATGGCCATGAATCAGTGTATACCGACAACTACATGGTCTCCGATATCAGCTTCTGCATCCATCTAAAACTCATTATGGGGTATTTGACACTATGTGTAAAACGCAGTGATCGTCGTATGTCGACCTTTTTTCGAACTAAATGTAATGGCACCTAATTCTATCGACTAAGCTAGCCCATTGTCCAAGAAATGTGATTTGTTTAAATGGACTATTTCTTTACACATTTGAAGGCTTCGCAGAATTTTCGTGCGGACATATTACGAGCTTGATGCTTTCAATCTAACAATATCATCAACACCTATGGTGGTGTTAACGTGCACAACGCTTTTCTATATCAGTGCATCCGCTTTTTATCTCTAATTTGGGAAACAACGACTTGAAAACGTCCGATGGAAGTGTTCCAAATACTGAGATTGAACACCACTTCGCATTTAGTGATTGGGCTATACTATTGACAATATGGAATACTAATCAAGGAAAAAAATCCTAACACCATGATTTTCTGATCGTCAAAAAAATGACAAACTTGAAATGCCCACGCATAGTCTGATCCGATTTTCCCATGACGTCAAGACCTGTGGAGTGAATCGACGGCGCCTAGAGGGGTGGGAATCACTCGCCATCTCGAGATCTGAGTATTTTGTTTAATATCAGAAAATATCTTAAGAAAACTAATTTTAACTGTAAAAAACATGCAATGTTTGGAAATACGTCAAAAATATGGCGCCTTACTGTAGAATGGAAAGTCTACCGGCTTATCACGATGACCGTATGACATGCCTTGAAGATTGGAAGTGTAAAAAATGACGATATTAAATAAACAAAAACGAAGAAATATCTGAATTTAATACAGTATTATTTTTGTTATTAAGTAGTATAACAGTATTTCTCGGCAGTGGTCTTACAGCCAACCATCATTCAACAAATATATCCATTTCAAAATCATTTTCAAAGATTTCCATTCAGACTTTATTTCAAATTTCATGTCAAGATAATTTTTATGATATTCATTTGTGAATGAAACTGAGTCATAAACTTCCCCGAATCTTAATCAAGTGACCTTATTCTTCAAAGATGTCAAAAACTTAGACTTCAGATAGCTAGAAGGTAACTCGTCTTGTAAAAATCTCAATATGAAAAGAAAAAATAATTTTTATTTCATCATAAGCACACTTTTATTATTTCTCGGCTAGAACCAAACTTTTACATAGGATTTCAGTATTAAGTTCTCTTAACTAATGCGGATAAAAATAATCGCCAACTTTCAGCTTTTTATGACAAAAATGTAGGCCCTAATCCTGAAGTTCTGGTCATCTGATATGGCGAAAAGGTTACTGCTTTTGGTCTAGTACTAGTAGTAGAATTAATTTTTTCCCTTCAAAACAAACGCATAAACCTCGCCGACTAATAACGATTATACTCGCTCTTCTGAAGAAAAAATATTGAATCTTAAAGCTTAGCTTGTCTAGACATATTTAGGCCTTTAAGGTTTTTGCTGACCTTTCGAAAAAAATAGCCTCAGATCAACTGTCATCAAGTTATTGTTAGAATGTTCAAACTTTAATCAAAGTCATTCTAATTCAACAAAACTTTGAAATAAAATCTGAGAAAAATATTTGAACATATCGAATCAGTAACCAGAGCAGAAGTGAGACCATTAAAATTCAAGATGGCGTCCTAATTAGGCGCCAAGAAACGTGATTTCATGCTGGATCAATGACGAAAACATACCTATTATATCATTGTTAAAATATCAAGTTAATGGTCTAGCTATTTCATATTTTATATCATTTTAATTTTCTTTACATACCTTGACATACAGTTAAAACCTTCGATATTTGATTCACCTTATTAGGTCACCCCGAATCGTGCTCTGACAATGGGTTTTGACCGCCATGTTGTTTGCTTACGTTTTATCGTAGCCGATTAAAATGACTTAAAAGACTAATTATGAAGATTCGAGATTTTAATATATAATACTAGAAATAGGTATATTTTTTATAAGCAGGTGTGATCATTTAAAGACTCGTTGAAACCATGTGAGAGATATTTTATCTGTAATAACACCAATAATACAGACATTTTATACAGGATTTTAAACTGTCGTGGATCATGGACGTAAACCCTCCGACGTGCATTACTGACGGAAAACTACTCGAAAGTCCTAAAAATAGCTAAAATTCATTCTTCTCGCCCTATTTCCTCGGTAAATTAATTCATAATAATGTAATAATAGTTCTTTTCAGAAAGAATAATATTGAAGTCCATTGTTCATGATCATTATTTAATTGAAATGACTTAATAAGATAATTTAAGACGTATCGCAATTTTTAATAGCTTATATTTGTCTGGTGATATTTTCTTTTGACATCTGACACTGCGCGTGACTCTCCATAATAATTGGTCGATATATTTCCCGCCGTTTTTCGTCCATTTAAACCCAGTGGTGTGTATCAACACATATATAACTTGAAGTTGGCTAAAATTAATCGGGTTATGATAAAACTTGCCGAAAGGGGGTCATGTCAGTTGATGACATCAGTTGATTGTATATAGTCCCTTTGGGTGTTTCAACGAATAGTTTACAATCTTATTCACATGGGCTTTTTAGGGGAATGGTTGCTTGTACTAGCGAATATTATAAACAGCATGAATTAGTTATAATCCCAGTGGTGTTTTTCCATTTGGTGTAATTTCCGTTAGGGCTAATTCCCATTTGAGCTATGCAATATCATATCTGTCGGTAACCTATAAATTCAGCAAATTATTTAGCTTATGGGGGTATGTAGACATTGCCATACATGGAGTAGGTGATAGAGACATATCAAAGTTTCAAATAATTAATCTAAAAAATATCTCTTATGAAATAATTGGTACGTGTCTGATTGGAATCTTAATACCAAAATTTGTTTATTTTGTCCGATTTGTGGATGTATTTCTCATGGTGTTTTTGTGGACAAACTTTTTCTGTATTCTTCAAATTTGTCTTAAAAGCCTTCCTTAGTCACAAACAACACTAAGAGACTTTTTCTTTTACAGCTCACAGCTTATAATGGCCTAATATTGTTTAATATTCCATTTCTATTATATCCAAAATAAACACAAGCCTACACTTGTTCAGTCTTCTCACGACTGTGGTATAATTCATCATTTTTTTTAAATACGCCTCATTCAACTTTAATGGAACATGTAAAAAGATCTAATGCGAGTCTGGCGTCAGATATGGTAGTTATAATATTTTCAAATATTAAATAATTTAACAGATACTAAAGTGACGCGAAATCTTGGCATCGTTTTCAGCACAAAGTGGACGATTTCTATCCTTAAAATGTGTTACTGTTATGCTGTTGGCGTGTTTTCTTCACTTAATTTTATTGTATAGTTTTTCATTAGTGAACACTGCTTAAACCAAATGCTAAAAGCGTAAATGGAGGAACTGCCAATGAAAAAGGATGACAAGACAAAAATTATGCCATACGTAATCGCCTGTTCATCGCCGAATATTTGTCTTCCATACGGGCTCTGACCACTTGCCCGCTGATTAAGCGGACTTGATCAAGCGGATAGTAAACATTTCGTACAAGATTTAATTTTATTCAGTGTCAGTTAAGTCTCATGGTGTGTTTGTTTTCTTGTTTTTCATCAAGTACACGTATACCCCCGTGTGGTCATCGCGCGTAGCTTATAGTGACATTCTTGTTATATATGCCTAATTTCTCGATATATAATGAACTTGTATCAATTAAGCTCATTAAAGCGGGGCTATATATTACATTATCTTCAATTATCTGAACTCATCTGTCAACATGGTTGGTGTATAGTCTCGTTCATCAGTCACGTCTGAATTAAGCCACAAATATACGATGTACAGTGCGGTGTTCTAGACACCTGATTCTACTTTTCATTGTGAAATACTTAGTCACTTATGATTGGTGTACTTTCTCAAGTGAAAATATCACACTAGCTGCTACAAATGTTTCGCCAAAATTTGATTTCGGGTTTCCGGGTAGAAATCCGGAGGGAGGACTTATTCCAGCAAATTTAGAACCCTTAGCTAACATTAATTCGACGTTACCATGTAAATGCCTTAATATTCAATAGCCATTTTCTCGATATTTACTTGGCACAGGGGGGCAAATACATACGTGAGTTTACATGCCATAATTAATTACTATTTGAAGAAAAGTATTAAGGGTTTTTAAATTGTAAAAATGATCCTATTGGAAATACAATTGCCCAATTGAGATATTAAGGCTGGTGAGTGAGACTATTAAATGAAATGAAAATGTGATATATCTTTCATTTATCAATGTCGAATATGTTACACCCTGTCGTGGCTTGTGTGACATTCTATCAAAGCACTCATATCTGATCAAATACATGTTCTCAAAAACTGTTAAACTCTTAATACATATAATTCCTTACATTAATGTCTACTTTAGTTCTACGAAATTCTTCGACACAAAAAAAAAGAAATGTCGTTCTTGCAATATAATAACCATTTTTTGCAGAAGTTTCACATAATTCGTAGCGTGAAACATGTTATTCTAAAATAAATAACTTTGAAAGAAATTTGTGGGTGTTCTCTCTCTTAAAATTATAATTACAGATCTTACCCACCTACTCCACCTACAATCACATTTTGGGGATTTTTAGCCTAATTTGATTCATTGAATCTTTCGTAATATTTTTTTCCATTTGCACAATTCGTCTGGAATTTCTGGCAAGATCGCCTCACTGTTGCGCAATAACTCTTATTTCAATTAACGCTCGAGCGTAAAAAAATTTCGGAATTAAACATTATTTTCGCACCCTTCTTATTTCTCATCCGAAATCTTTTGAAAACCATAGATTATGATGTCACTATTATAAATATTCAAATAAAAGATCAAGTCTAAAATTTAAATTTTGGAGCTATTGATAAAAACATAATTATTTCATGCTTAGGATGGCCATCATACATACCATATTTTGGTTCTTTAACGATGTGTGTGTTCTTGGATCAAAAAAAAGGGAATGTGAAAAGTTGACGTTTGGTATGACTAGGTCACCAACCTTTACGAAGATGACGAATGACTTTTTAGAATTTATCTTCAAGACACCACCACAAAGCTAACAGTAGATGTACACCACAGCGCCAAAATAAATGAGAAAGGATTTTGAATATGACTTCAGCTGCGATAGGCTTCGGATAAAAAGAGAAGTATACCTTCAAATTAGTTTATCAGTGGTAAAAGGTCTCTTATCTCTGAAATCGGAGACCATTTGGAATAGTGACGACACACATGGCTTTGAGAAATACCTGCAGTGAACTCTTTGTACGAAAACGAAACTATACATTGGAAAATTGTGGTTCATTGAGCTTACAATTTACAATAAAATAAAAATAAATCTCGCCATTGAGTTTTTTTTATGTTAAAATTTTTTGTGTTTGTATTTGTCCTTTCGAAGTCCTCCAGAAGCTTAAGAATGAAACGAACTGAATACACAGATGTTTTACGCTCTTATTTCCTGATTTCAGACAACAACCAACGATATAGTGAATACAGAGGGAAATTATTGCAATGGACAGGGGAATTGGGCAGCTAATTTTCTTTCCCAAATGATATCATAGACATGTAACACACTTGCATGAAAATCAAAATGTTTCATTCTAGACTCGCACTCTAAATAATCTATTTAGTATCAGTTTACATATTTCGAGATACAGAATGACCAAAAGAAACCGAAGACCAAACACATGTTAACCACTTACATTTCAAAGAACTTGCAAGTCATAAAAACGATGGTTTTCGAGACCACTTGATCTTGAATAAATGATGTCTTTGTGAGAAAATTAAATTGTGGTCATTTGGTCAAGATGGATGGAGCTTTAAACATCTAATGACCACAGATTCATTGACCACTCGTTAACTAAATGTTAATTAAAACGTCTTGTTAATGAGTCTGAGATATCTTAATACGACGCTATCTTTCAGTAGTCAAGTTTAATACATAGGGGAAATGGTGATATATTGGTACCGTATTTACTGGTGTTTCAGTATTACTCTCAGTGGTCTATCTGCTATATGTCATGGTTTGATGTTGACATACAGTCAGTGGCAGTTATGACAGTGTGGACACGTTTTTAGATTATTTAATCAATTTTACGGCACTCCTTCCTCAAAGTCGTGGTCTTTACAAATTTGATGTATTACATGACCAACATTAAAAATAACACTACAAGAGATCTTACGATTTTAATATTCTATAATTTACCGTTAAATATGTAAAAAGAACCAGATGTTTCTCAGCATAGGACCCACATCCTGCAAATCAATTCGTACTTTTTTTTGGATTACCAGGGTAAAAAAACAATGGTAGCTGAATATTTAACGACAAACTCCGCAGAATTGACGAAATTTATTGAAATGTTCTTCGGAGTATAAATCAACCTATATTTTCATTATTTCTTATTCCCAATAGAATAATTGCAACATTTTTGAGATTTGTGTTTTTAAACTATCTGTCGTATCTTGACATAATTGCAGTTTTTTTCATTATTGTCAAGTCAAAATAATAACATCTATTAATAAGATCTATTAGAAATATTAAAACTTAATCTCCAAAAAACTTGATGTTGTTACTCGCAGCCCGATCTTCAGAAATAGATGTATTATATATTAATGTCACTTCAAAGCAAAAATTGAACAAGTATTAATTTTTTTACCAATAAATTAAAATTTAACTATTTAAATTTTTCGTTTCTTTTCTCCATGTTAATTTGATCATTTGAATGTATTGTGTCAAGAGTAAATCTAATAGCATTGAGGATAACATCTGTTAAATTGCAGTATAAACAATATAACATTCAGAACAACTACCACTTCAACTTGATAAGTCTTCCTGATAACAGCA